TAAGATTAAATTTTTCCCCTCCCCCTTGCCTTCCTTCTGTGCCAACCGCCAAAAAGCCAAGAATCGCGGGACCGCCGGCGGAGGGGGGGAGGGCGAGCGGAGGCAGCGGCGAGCCCCGTTCCTCCCCATCCGCCCCATTCCGTGCAAGGAGCGCGAACAGGTGTGAGAAGGGGGTCAAACCTGCGGGTCGGCGCCGGGGAACCTCCAAGCTTTGGGGGTGGGGGGGAGGAGGCAGCAAAGCGAGGCAGGAAGGAGAGCGCGGCTTGGCGAAGTACTCGGCGGCGAAGGCCAGCAGGTCCGGCGGCCGGTGCCGCAGCACCTCCACCGTGTAGCCCTGCAGCAGCTCAGTCAGACCCGGCGGGATCTCGATGCTCATCTTGTAGCCGAGGCGCGCGGGAGACTCAACGGACGGGCCCGGGAGAGAGAGAGAGACACACGACGGAGAGAGAGCGGGAGTCCCTGCTCGCCGTCGCCACCGCTACAACTACTGTGGCGGTTGGTCGTGGTCGCCGCCGCCGCCGCCCACCTCTATCTATCTCTCCCCCTCAGCTTTCTACGCGGGCCTCGAGCCGGAGGTAGGGGGTGGCCGCCGCCGCTTTCTCCGCCTCCACATCCTGCCTCCTCCTCCTCGAGCCCTCCGTCAGCCCTGAGGGAACCGCCGCGCTCGTGCCGCCGCTCTCTGACACGCGAGAAAGAGAAAGGAACGGAGTGGCGGGGTAGTCGGGGGAAGGAGGGGCCGGAATGGAAGCGCGAGGCGAGCTGCGCATGCCCAGCAGGAAGCGGCGGAGAACGCCACAGAGAGAGAGAGAGAAGCAAGGGAGGGCGGGGAGTGGGCGGGAACACGCTTCATGCGTCACAATAACGGACAAGAGGCGCTCGAGGGATAGATTAGGACCTAATTTGACTTTTACAAAAAAAAAAAATCTTTCGAATTTTCCCCACGGCACACCAGGCAACATCTCGCAGCACACTAGTGTGCCGCGGAACAGTGGTTGGGAAACACTGCGTTATCTTACTAAGTCTTACCTTTTGGAGAAGCAGAAGATTGCTTGTGCAAGAGCTTCCAATCTGCTGCAACTGTGTGGCCAGAATTGCTCCCTGTGCCCTGTTAATTGAAAATTCAAATAGTTTGCCTTTGACTGTGCTTAACCACAGCTGAAGAACAGCACTCTACAAATGCTCAAAACACGCACACCCTTCCTCATTCGTCCTCATTCTTCTGCATCTTCTGAGGATGACTCTTCCAGGACTGAGTCAGGAGAAGGATACAGCTCGATTCAATCCCCAGCAACTTTAGGAAGGACAGGGAAAGTCCCCTGCCTAAAACCCTCAAGAGCTGCTGCCAGACAGCATAGGACAGGGGTGGGGTGGGGGGAAAAATGGCCCTCCAGAGATTGCTGAACTACAACTCCCATCATCCCTGACAATTGACCATGCTTGCTGAGACTGGTGGTACTTAGATTCCAGCAACATCTGGGGGCCACAAATTCCTCATCCTGCAGAATTAGTACTGTAGACCAGGGGTGGCCAACTCCCAAGAGACTGCGATCTACTCACAGAGTTAAAAACTGGCAGTGATCTACCCCCTTTGGGGGGTTCGGGTCAAAGTTGTTGAGTTTTTTCAGGGAGGAGGTAAAATGTTTAGCTTTCTTTTTAGGACAGCTGCAGTTGTTCAGCTTCTTTGGGGGAGCCAATGATCTACCAGTGATCTACCGCAGACATCCAGTGATCTACCAGTAGATCATAATCTACCTGTTGGACATGCCAGCTGTAGACCAAGGACAGTAAACCTGTTGCCTTCAAGATATTGTTATACTCCAACTCCCGTTGGCCCCAGCCAATGTAGCCAGTGGTCAGAAACCAGAGAGCCGGAGTCCAACAATATCTGGAGGGCCACCGGCTCCCCATCCCTGATGTAGACAATTATTGGCTAGATGGACCACAAGATAAAGCATCTTCCTATTCCCCTGGGATCTAGGGGTTGCCTGCTTTTCAGATCTGCTGCTGGTCATCTCACACAGAACGTGATTTTGCAAATCTGCACTATAAAGAAAGGCACAGAACTGGTCACTGTCAAGCTGCCAGTTCTCAGCTTCACTTCTTTCCTTTCCATCCCTCCACAAACTGGCTCAGTTTCCCCCAACCTGTTGCCCACCAGACCTCTGGGGCTGCAACCCCCATCAGTCCCCGCCACCACAGCCCTATGTTTCTGCCTGGGGTTAGTGGGAGTTGCAGCCCCAAGTGCCTGGTGGACTGCCAGTTGGTGAAAGGCTGAGCCAGCAGGAGAATTTTCATTTTCCTCACATTGCAAGTCGGGGGGCAGGGTAGTAAAGAGGAATTTGCAGAAGAGAAACCAGTAAGGAGAAGCTGCAACCATATCCTCTTTCACTTGTGATATGGCTTCTGGGCTCATAGGCTTCTTCATGTGACCGCTCAGGTCAGGGGGAAAGCCACACCATCACCCCTCCCAGGGCTGTTGGAATCAAATGACATTTGGAGGCTCCAACTTCACCATCTCTAGCATGGGCCCCATCTGCACTATGCATTTAAAGCAGTATCATGTCACTTTAAACCAGTGGTTCATGCCCCTCAACTGCCCTGATTTAAGCAGGACATCCCTTTTTTTGGGAGGGGGGACATGCTCCTGTAGAAGTCACCTGGCTCCTGCAAGATTGCATCCCCAAAAGACGTGCATTTGGGGTGGGGGGCTGTGCTCTCACATGAACACATGTGCAATGGCTGTTTCAACAGTACACACAGCAGCTATAAATGTGACTTGCTGGTTTGAGGGAAAGCACCTTGAACATGGGGAACGCGGGTGGCGCTGTGGGTTAAACCACAGAGCCTAGGACTTGCCGATCAGAAGGTTGGCGGTTCGAATCCCCACGACGGGGTGAGCTCCGTTGCTCGGTCCCTGCTCCTGCCATCCTAGCAGTTTGAAAGCACATCAAAGTGCAAGTAGATAAATAGGTACCGCTCCGGCGGGAAGGTAAACGGCTTTTCCGTGCGCTGCTCTGGTTCACCAGAAGCGGCTTAGTCATGCTGGCCACATGACCTGGAAGCCGTACGCCGGCTCCCTCGGCCAATAAAGCGAGTTGAGCGCCGCAACCCCAGAGTCGGTCACGACTGGACCTAATGGTCAGGGGTCCCTTTACCTTTACCTTGAACATCATGAGCATTTTCCAAGATCCTACAAGGTACCTATGGGTTGTGTCCTTGGCTTCACCAATAGTTGGAACGCACTGGAGCTGGAGTAAATGGGAAGATGTAGCTATCCTGAGTTACTCCTAAAAGTAAAACATATGTATCTTCATCAAAGGGGAAGAGGATATGCAACCCTTCAGGATGAAGGAGGGTATCTGCCTTTCAGGAGTGAGTATGATACATTTTATTAACCCCCAAATCTTTCTTTTTTGCAGGGCCCAGGGACACTGCAGAGTCAACTATGTAAGTGCCAAGTTGAGCTACTCCACTGAAAATGAGTGAGCATTCCTGGCATCCCTTGGACAGCAGGTCAAGGGCACACACACACACACACACACACACACACAGGGGCACTTTACACAATCAGATTAGCCTGGTGGGTTGAAACTGGAAGCACACAGCCAAATGCTCCCGTACTGAGGTTTGGGGCAAGCACAAACATATTTAAATTTAACCCACTCATGAAACGTATTGAAAACGCAGGCTGCGAATGGGTTGCCAAGGCTGTTTGGATTGCCTTTGCCTGACGTAGGTTCTCATGAGCCTGAGAACCCTTGATTGCCTCCCAGCTGTGGCTGACACTTCCTTCTCCTTCTTGGTGTTACAGGAAATTTGAATTTAACCCCAGAGATGGGATCGATAACCCAGCCCTGTCACTGGCAGAGGATTCTGGTAACAATGGGGAGCGACGTCTGGGGCTGCTGCGTGGGTGGCAGAGGAAGGACCAGCTGTTTCCCTCTTGGTGCTTGCAAAGAGGGAGGCTTGCTTCCCCTTCCACGTCAGGGACCTGATGGCTGTTTACCACCTCGTCCTGCAAATAGCACATTCAGTGGGGCACGCATATTGATGTGAATCTACTTAATTTGCATTTAGCCAAACTGTGTTTATTTATTAACAAAAAACAATTAACTATCACTGTTCAGGGATGGGAGGGAAATGAGCATGATTTACAATAATTCTACATCATTTGCATCTCTGAGTGTGGCAAGGCCTGCTCTTTGGTACATTCGACAGCCAAGGGACTGTCTCACACACACCACAAAATGCCTGTTCCACAGCCAAAAAACTTTTCAGAAACAATATCGCCACCCAGGGCTTGTCCACACTGGAAAAAATGTGGCTTCACACTGCTCTGTCTCCTCATTCATGTATCCACATGATATTTTCCCTATGCATAGGAGCCACTCATAGGGGACGAAATCTCTTCACCCTCCCTCCCCCATAAAATATTAGAGGGGACAGCCCCCTCCCCAGTTGATGGGTATTGAAATTCAAATGGTGTGTGTGTGTCATGTGTGTGTGTGCCATGTGATTGATTATGTGAGGTGGGGCTTACCTGCTCCCCCCCCCCATATTTTATGTCCCACGGAGGACCTTACGGTCTTCAAACAAAAACATCTTGGAGGTCCTGGGCCACAGGGAGGTTAGGCTGGCCTCAGCCAGAGCCAGGACTTTTTCGGCTGTGGCCCCGATCTGGTGGAACGCTCTGTCACAAGAGACTAGGGCCCTGCAGGACTTGACATCTTTCTGCAGGGTCTGCAAGACAGAGCTGTTCCAACAGGCCTTTGGCCAAGGCACATTCTGACCCCCTCTCTCCTTCTGTAATTCTCACTGAACTCTAGCCCAATGGTTGCCATTAATTTGATTTAAATTGATTTTAGAATGAATTGATTTTAGAATGCTGTGTTACTTTTATTGTTGTTAGCCGCTCTGAGCCTTGCTTTGGCTGGGGAAGGTGGGATATAAATAAAAATTTTATTATTATTTATTATCAATAAGAAGAAGAAGAAGAAGAAGAAGAAGAAGAAGAATAAAAAATTGGCACCCCTGTCCCAGTCTTGTCCTGGGCCTTCCCTGTTTATATGTGGGTTTTATCCAAATATCTAGGATCAGTGGGTGGGCTTGGGGGGCAGGAAGGCTGCATTTAAGTGCATTAAAGGTCTGGGTCAACTCGGATGGGAAGGATGTCATTAGCTGGTGCACACAAGTCAAAACATCTACTTGCACCCTAAAACAGAGAGAGAGAGAGAGAGAGAGAGAGAGAGAGAAGCAGCAGCAGCAGAGACAGATGACTTTCCAGAACAACAAGCCAAAAAATCCAATTAAAATAAAAAATTGGGCAATATCAGAAGGCTGTGGTGGGTGCAGAGCTGTGTCTGTTTCAGTGCCCACAAGTGCTGCGTTGGGGACCCCGGGTCTGCAGGGTCGGCCTCTGATCTTGTTTTCCACAGAGCCAGAGGGAGGTGCTCAGGTGCGCTTCTGCTTCCTGAAGAAGGAGGACGGGGAGAGCTTTGGGTTCTGGCTACGGCAGGAGGTGGGCAGCAACGGGCACATCGTGCGACAGGTGACGCCGGGGGGCCTGGCTCACCGCAGAGGCCTGCAAGATGGAGACCGGATCTTAGAGGTGAACGGGGCTTATGTCGAAGGCCTGGAGCACTTCAGGGTGAGGTTTGGCTGGGAGTGGTGGCTCCGTTTCCCATTTGAGGTGGGCTTTCCCCCCACCCCCATAGAATTCAAATACAACAGAATGCGACACAAGAAATCAAAGGAGCAATAAAAATGCAAATTAAAACCATCCAGCACCTAGCACAGTGCATCGCAATTGCTGCAACAGGGAGAAAAATCATTATGTGAGCCATCAAGACCCTTAACAATTTTCAAGTGGTCCAGGGATAGGAGGAAATTTGGGGGTCACTGCTCATTGAGAACTTATGACCATAAGTGTTAAGTTGTGGGTGAACATATCAGACGACACAGCGATTCTTCAAACAGCTCTTGTTTATTCACAGGCCAGGACAGAACTGAACTGAAGGGTTCAGTCAGCCTGCTTATATAGAGCTCCAGTACAATGTAACTGTAACAATTTTCTAAAACTATCCAATCACTGAACGTCACTTTCGATCCTTTATTTGCATAACTATCTACAGTATCCCCCTGCTGGCCCAGGGAGAGAACTTCAGTACATAACAATAAGAACAGCCAATCTAGTCCAGCATCCTGTTCTCTCAGCCTATGGGAAAACCTCAAGCAGGATGAGAGCACAGGAGCAGTTTCCCCATCCTGTGGTTTCCAGCAACTGGCATTTGGAAGCCTCTGACTGCATGTTCAGAGCTTAGGTATTCTGGTAGTCTCCATGAATCCCAGTAGTCCTCTCCTCCATGAATTTGTCTGATCCTCTTTTAAACCTTTCAAATCCCTGCCTCCTGCAGAAGTGAGTTCCATAGTTTAACTATGCGCTGTGTGGAGAAGGACTTCCTTTTATCTGTCTTTGCAACACTCAGCTTTGTTGGATGCCCAGGAGTTCTGCTGTTATGAGTCTCTGTTTTTGAGGCTCTTGCCCTCTTTCTTGGCAGGTGGTTTGGAAGATCAAGAGCAGTGGGAAGCAAGTCTCTCTCACTGTCCTGGATGGGACATCCTATGAGTTGGCAAAAGCCCTCGACCGGGACCTTGGCCAGCTCTTGCCCCAGCACAACAGGCCACGGCTGTGCTGCATCAACAAGGACCAAAGTGGCTTCGGCTTCAGTGTTTCAGCTCCAGAAGGTAGTGAAAACCCACACTGCGGTTTGTTGCGTTTTTCACCATGAGTAACCAAATACTAGGGACGCGGGTGGCGCTGTGGGTAAAAGCCTCAGCGCCTAGGGCTTGCCGATCGAAAGGTCAGCGGTTCGAATCCCCGCAGCGGGGTGCGCTCCCGTTGTTCGGTCCCAGCGCCTGCCAACCTAGCAGTTCGAAAGCACCCCCGGGTGCAAGTAGATAAATAGGGACCGCTTACCAGCGGGAAGGTAAACGACGTTCCGTGTGCTGCGCTGGCTTGCCAGATGCAGCTTGTCACGCTGGCCACGTGACCCGGAAGTGTCTCCGGACAGCGCTGGCCCCCGGCCTCTTGAGTGAGATGGGCGCACAACCCTAGAGTCTGTCAAGACTGGCCCATACGGGCAGGGGTACCTTTACCTTTACTTTTAACCAAATACTGCCATGAGGAAAACCAGAATTTTACCATCAGATTACACTGTGCAAATCCAAGAGATTGCACACACTGCTCCCCCCCCCCGTTGTTTATTCTTCTGCCCAGATTGAAATTTGACATTTATTGCAAGGGATATTATTTGCTATTACTTTTTATTGCAAGGGATAATAGGAGGGAGCGGAAGAACAAAGAGATTGCTGTTACTGAGTGGGAAAATAAATACCCACGGCAGGAAACTGTTCCCAAACTTGATTCTAAGGGTATGTTTACAGAACAAACTTATCATCAGGGTTTAAATCAATTTAATTAACGGTTGCGGTCCCCCCCCTCAAAAAAAAAGATTCCCGAGAATTGTAGTTTTTGTAAAGTTCCTTTGAAATCTCTGTTTGAGATTCTTGGTCCTACAGAACACCCTGCAAAGATGAGAGGGCTTCAAAACCAGTTTTGAGTCTCTAGGATTGACACTCCACCAAACAGACTAATATTTAAAGACCATCAGTTGTACAAAATACAGTGGTACCTCAGGTTACATACGCTTCAGGTTACAGACTCCACTAACCCAGAAATAGTGCTTCAGGTTAAGAACTTTGCTTCAGGATAAGAACAGAAACCGTGCTCTGGTGGCGCGCCAGCAGTGGGAGGCCCCATTAGCTAAAGTGGTGCTTCAGGTTAAGAACAGTTTCAGGTTAAGAACAGACCTCCGGAACGAATTAAGTTACTACAGAGGTACCACTGTAGTAAAAAGTGGAACATCACTGAAAATACGTTTAGAACAATACACTGTTGCAATATGTATTGTTTTTCCATCACAACAGTAACTATTACTATTTCTTTTATTTAAAAACCCTATAAGAATCACAAAAAGGTAGAATAATACAATTTATAATTGAACTCAGCATTTTTGACACATAATTATGCCTCCCCCCCCCCAATTTTGAATACTTCATCTCCTTTCATTGTTCTAAATCCAAGGTCGCAAACTTCTTCTTTTTGAAATAATTTTTATTTGATTTTATCAATACAAAGTTATAAAAAACCAAATATGTATCCATATGCAGAGATTTCTCCAAATCTCAGGACTTCCACCCAACCCCTTCCATGGATTCCCATTTTAAACATTTAAAACTGCATCTTCTTCCGACCTCTGACTTTTATATCAAACCATAAGGTCCCTCCCTGCCAGAGAGGAATGGCAAACCAAACTGATGGAAAAAAATTATAAGATATATAAGAGACCACTGTAAGCAGATGGAAACATTGGCAGGATTTTGATTTCACTGGTAGTGAAAATCAACATGGACAACAGGGTGGCAAACGTCTTCATCTTGAGAGCCACATTCTGTCTTGGCCAACCTTCACCCCTGACCACTGGTCTTGCCAGCTAGGGATGATGGGAGTTGTAGTTCGAAAACAGCTGGAGACCCAGGTTTGGGAAACACTGGAATAGGTGAAGGCAAAATGAGGGGTCCTGGCCGATAAATGCTAGTTTTTTTCTTCTCATGCTCCTGTTTTCGTATCCTTTGCTTTGCAGGTGTGAAGGGCACATTCCGACTCTCTGTGCCAAAGGTCGGGCCAGCTGACAAGGCAGGGGTGCCAGATGGTTCATGGCTCCTGGAGTTCAACGGTGCTTGTGTGGAGAGTTGGACTCTTGCACACCTTCACAAAAAGGTACCAGGGCTGTCACTCGATGACAGAAATGTTGGCTTTAGCCAACTGACTGAACAACTTGGGGACCAGGTCACATCCAGGAACACCTTCCTATGGAAGGTCCCTCCCTACCTGATAATTTCAATCCTTTGTTGTTGTTGTTGTTTAGTCATTTAGTCGTGTCCGACTCTTCGTGACCCCATGGACCAGAGCACGCCAGGCACTCCTGTCTTCCACTGCCCCCCGCAGCTTGGTCAAACTCATGCTGGTAGCTTCGACAACACTGTCCAACCATTTCGTCCTCTGTCGTCCCCTTCTCCTTGTGCCCTCCATCTTTCCCAACATCAGGGTCTTTTCCAGGGAGTCTTCTCTTCTCATGAGGTGGCCAAAGTACTGGAGCCTCAGCTTCACGATCTGTCCTTCCAGTGAGCACTCAGGGCTGATTTCCTTCAGAATGGAGAGGTTTGATCTTCTTGCAGTCCATGGGATTCTCAAGAGTCTCCTCCAACATCATAATTCAAATCCTATTTCAATCCTAGCTAGAGGGAAAACTCTCCAGCAGCGCACTGTATCCTCCCTGGGTTTGGCTTACGTACCCAAATTTTTGATTCCAGATCAAGCACAGCAACAACCCGATGGGGCTGCTGGTGATTGACGCCAAATCAGAGGAGTTTTACCGGCAACGCGGCGTTAAGGTTACAGCCGCCATGGCTGACGCTTCCTGGGTTCCTTTTGAGGTGAGGAAGGTGCAGATGGTGAGAGGCCAAGACGGATACGGATTCTTGCTGAAAGAAGAAAAACGTTGCTCGGGAGAAAGAGGTGAGGCCCCTTGCCTGGAAAAGAGCCAGACTGCACACAGCTCGACGCTCCACAGTATTTAAATTTGAGAGCAAAGTAGGTGACTTTGAGGTAAGACAGAGGACTGCTCGAGCTTTTCCCCTTTCATCCAGACAAAACGTTTCCTCCCACCCAGCTGCGTTTCTCCCCGAGGAGAAAAAAAAGAAGACCCAACATCTTTCCCCTTGTACTTTGAAGGGATGATTTGAGAGGAAACAGACAATGTTCATTCTGCATTTGCAAGGAATCGATATTTCACCATGGCTGCACTGACACATTGGAACTCCCTGCCACTTGATATTAGGCAGGGCCCATCGCTGCACTGCTTTCAGTGTCCACCAATTAACTAATTTTTTGTTTTGTTTAAGCAAGCCCACCCAGATGTGTACATCTGACGTGCATTTCAATAGGCAATTTTAGTTTTAAACGGCTGGTTTTCTTGGACATGTGTTCGGCTGGCTTGTCTTTAACTTCTGATTTTCTTGGTAATTTTAAGGTATGTTTTATATAAACTGCTGGAAGATTTTGATGCTTCAGCAGTATATAAGCCTTGATAAATAAATACATTTTGAATATTCAAATGCGCGGGGGGGGGGGGGGGCAGGGTTGAGCAACTCCTCTCACTGCCAGTCATCTAACTTCACAGATATCATTTGGATGTTTTGCATCTTTGGGTTGTTGTTGGTTTTTCTTTTTTAAAAAAACCTCCCATTCAGGACAGACTTAATGGAATTTTGCGTAAGGTGTGGGCTGGCTTTTTTTTATGTACCATCTTAACAGAGGCCAAACCGGGTCTGTGTGGCTTAGTAAAAATGTCCTCGCGTGCCAAATTAGGACCAACGATGGAACTAAATAGGTCCCTGGCCTGGTCAGTCCCCAGTGCCGGTCTACACTGATAGATGGCAGCTCTCCAGGGTTTAAGACTGAGGTTTTCCCAGACCTACATGGAGATGGCAGTGATGAACCTCCGAACTTCTGCATTTTGCTCTTTCACTGAGCTGCAGCTCCTTGTTCCCTAGCAAATAGGACAGAAGAGAGCTTTGCTGATTCACTTATGACGATTTCACTGGAGGAGCACATGTAAAGACACGCACGCACGCCGCACGTAAAATGCTCATAAAGGAAGCAAGGTGCAACCACTGGAATAATCAACGCCGCTGCTTTCATCTTGCCCATCTATGACTTGCAGGTCAGTTTCTGAGGGAGGTCGAATCCGGGCTGCCAGCTGAGAAGGCAGGGATGAGAGATGGCGACCGTCTCCTGGCTGTGAACGGCGAGGGCACGGAGGACCTGGACCACCAGGAGGTGGTGCTGAGGATACGTGCAGACAGCAGCCGGGTGACCCTGTTGGTTATTGATGCAGAAGGAAGCAAGTTCTACGACTTGGTATGCAGCAGTTTGAGAATGAGAGAGCACCAAGGAGATTGTGGTGGGATCCTATAGAAAGGTTTCCCCTCTACCATTAAGGCCACATACTTCTTGGAGCAAAGATAAGCATTTATAATGAACTTACACAATGGGCCAAAGATATCATACAATAATAAAGTTACTGAATTGGGTGAAGATGCTCTGAGGTCGGATTGCCTTCCGTATCTCTGAGCACCTGCACGCTGCAGAGAAACTAGCTGAATAGATCTCCCTCAGGGATCTACAGATTTGGAAGCCGGAAGAGGGATCTCAGATAATTCTCTGCACTTGGGCTAAAAACTACATCTCCCAGTATACTTTGGTGTAAGCAATGACAGTTAAACTGGCATAAAACTAAAAAAATGGAGTAGTGTACCTACGTACTTTATATCTCAGAGCACCTAGCACAGCCACTGCCAACCTGGTGCCCTCCAGAGGTTTTGGACTACAAATCCCATCAGCCCCAGCCCCAGAATGACTTTATGATGCTGGGGCTTATGGGAGTGGTACTCCCTAACATCTGGAGGGCACCAGGTTGGCAGTGGCTGATGTTGCACATGCCATTTGTGTACTATCAGGAATGGTTTGGGTCCTTTGACTTGGCCCACAGTGGGGTGGGAAAGAGGATAAGTTGGTTTCCTTCCATGATTCTGTAACATTCAAATATAAATATAAATAATATAAATATAAATATAAATATAAATATAAATAATATAAATATATAAATAAAAGCTTAGAAGTTAATTGTATTTAGATATGCATTTCCTAGGTGTCCTTCATCATAAAGTCCCAGGACGGGTTGCAACAATGTAACATATACAGTGGTACCTTGGTTTACGAACTTAATCCATTCCTGAAGTCCGTTCTTAAACCAAATCCATTCTTAAACCAAGGCACGCCTTCCCTAATGAGGCCTCCCACTGCTGGTGCCCTTCCACCGTTTGGATTCCATTCATAAACAGAGGTAAAGTTCGCTAACTTGAACACTACTTCCGGTTTTGCGGAGTCCGTAAACCGAATAGTTCGTAAACAGGACTGTTCATAAACCGAGGTACCACTATAGTTATAAAAACAGATAAAACCGTCAAGATGATAAAACAATCAAAATCATCCAAAATGGAGCAGAGAAGTATATACTCCGCAGAAAAGAGGTGAGTTAGCAGTCACAGGCTATGGTAAAAATGTGCATCTTCACAATACAGCAAAATCTATGCAGCGAAGAAGATGCATCTCTGAGGAGAGGGAATTCCATAATTTAGGGGCAGCCATGGAGTAAAAAAGGACATGGGTGGCGCTGTGGGTTAAACCACAGAGCCTAGGACTTGCCGATCAGAAGGTCGGCGGTTCGAATCCCCACGACAGGGTGAGCTCCCGTTGCTCAGTCCCTGCTCCTGCCAACCTAGCAGTTCGAAAGCACATCAAAGTGCAAGTAGATAAATAGGTACCGCTCCGGCGGGAAGGTAAACGGCGTTTCCATGTGCTGCTCTGGTTCGCCAGAAGCGGCATAGTCATGCTGGCCACATGACCCGGAAGCTGTACGCTGGCTCCCTTGGCCAATAAAGCGAGATGAGCGCCGCAACCCCAGAGTCGGTCACGACTGGACCTAATGGTCAGGGGTCCCTTTACCTTTACCTATGGAGTAAAAACCTTCTCCTGGGCAGCCACTCCCTGCACTTCTGTCCATAGTCGAACTGCCCACCCTCCTGGAGTTCTTAACACCTGAGGGGGGTCTGTAGGAAAGGAGACAAGTGTTTCATATCTTTCTTGGTTCCTAAGTCATTTTTGGGTGTCAAACGGTAATGTGAGCACCTTCCATGCATCGGAAGGATTCTGTTGGGTTTGCTGACAATACCCTAATTGTGACGTTTGCGGTCTCTTTTCGCTTTCCCAGGTTGGGTTATCACCTCTCCTTTTCTATGATGACCATGAGCCCCCAATGGGCTTGCACGTCGTCCATGCCTCCTCCTCTCCCAGCATGCCCCAGGAAAACAGCAATGCTGCCTTCACACCCTGCCTCTGTCACCTCAGAACGGACCCCCATGAGAACAGACTGCCTCCGGAGCAGTCTGGCAGCAGCTCGCCAGCTTTCGCAAAAGAGGTAACAATGCAAAAGAGGTAACAGCCATTTTGAACACCTCGGTTCAACCTTTTCCGCCTTTTGCGCTGCAAAGAGTGTGGATCACGTGGTAATTTTGTTTCTGGAGTGTATCGTTTCAAGTGGGGGACCACATAATTAAAGATATCATTTTGATCCTCCTCCTCATCATCACAAGTGTCATGGAAAGCTCGAAGGGCACACCAGTCAGGAAGCTAGAATATTGTTCTCCCTCCCTCCCAGCAGCAACTGGAAACTCCTGACTGCCCCAGATAGGACAATGTCTGGTGCCTTTTAGTGAATAAATCAGCCTTCGCCAACTGAGTGCCCTTCGGATGGGGCAGGGGCTGTGGTCAAAATCAACTAGAGGGCACCATGTCGGCAAAAGCTAGCTAAACCATAGAATGACACTATTCACACAACAAGCTTATCCATAGCTCATTCGAGTAGAGCATGAGACACTTAATCTCAGGGTCATGGATATACGCCTCATATTGGGCAAAAAGATTCCTGCATCACAGCAGTTTGGACCTCGTGATCCCTTCCAACTCTATGATTCTGTGATTCTAAGAAAGACAGACTGGAATCCATCTTTTTAATATCTAGCTTTGGGGGAAAAATGATCTTTGTGTTGGGAGATGCATTTAATAATTTCCCCCCAACTTCGGTCTAACTAAAGTAATATACAGTCGTACCTTGTAAGTCGAACGGAATCTGTTCCGAAAGTCAATTCGACTTCCAAAACGTTTGGAAACCAAGGCACAGCTTTCGATTGGCTACAGGAAGCTCCTGCAGCCAATCGGAAGCTGCATCAGACATTTGGGTTCCAAAGAACGTTTGCAAACCAAAACACTCACTTCCAGGTCTGCAGCATTTGGGAGCCGAAATGTTCGACTTGCAAGGCATTCAGGATCCAAGGTACGACTGTATATGCAAGCTGGTTCTGGAGTTCAGGGTTACTGGTTTTAAATATGGAACACTCCTGTGATGAAAAAAGGCCTTATGTGTCTGAGAAGCGTGGCAGAGATGGGAGGTGCTGCTCGATTCATGATTAGGAATGGGGGAGAAATTCAATTCAGTTTGCATTTGATTCAATCTAATTTGTGCTTTCTGAAACAATACACAAACTGAAAACACAGCCATCTTTTGAAACCCACACTTCTCCAAATTTTGCAATGTCACTCTCCAGCCAAGTAATGTGTTCAAAAATGCATTTACTAGGGCAAAGTGCACATGACTGGAAATGCCTATACAGTGGTACCTCGGGTTAAGTACTTAATTCGTTCTGGAGGTCCGTTCTTAACCTGAAACTGTTCTTAACCTGAAGCACCACTTTAGCTAATGGGGCCTCCCACTGCTGCCAGGCCGCCGGAGCACGATTTCTGTTCTCATCTTGAAGCAAAGTTCTTCACCCGAGGTACTATTTCTGGGTTAGTGGAGTCTGTAACCTGAAGCATATGTAACCTGAGGTACCACTGTATTAATAAACATAATGTACAAAAATGTGTCACGTTAAGGAAATTTGCTTTCAAAAATGTATACTTTGCACACAGAATTGTGTATATTGGGATAAATTTGCACTAAAATGCTGGTGAGGACACTTAAAAAGAGAATTTGCAAAATGATGCATACTAAACTTAGGTTTGGAGAAATGATAAATAGGAAGGAAAGGAAAACGACAGATTAGACACTCCCATGGACTCTAGGTCTAAACCACTGAGCCTAGGGCTTGCTGATCAAAAGGTTGGCGGTTCGAATCCCCATGACGGGGTGAGCTCCCGTTGCTCGGTCCCTGCTCCGAGATGAGCACCGCAACCCCAGAGTCATCGGCGACTGGACCTATAGGTCAGGGGTACCTTTACCTTTTAGGACTCATGATCCACCTAGGTTACAAGAATTAAGGTGCATGTCCGTGCGCTGCTCTGGTTTGCCAGAAGCGGCTTAGTCATGCTGGCCACATGACCCGGAAACTGTACGCCGGCTCCCTTGGCCAATAAAGCGAGATGAGCGCCACAACCCCAGAGTCGGTCACGACTGGACCTAATTTTCAGGGGTCCCTTTACCTTTACCGTTCTACAGTGCTTCTTGCACAGCTCCTGCCTATTTCGAGCTTCAAGAAGACACCTTCCTCCTTGGTACTCCATGCCTCACTCTGAGCTGCCCATCTCTCAGTGAAAAGCTGTTGCCAAAGGGGGAGCCCTCCCTGTCCCATCTCATGGCAGACCAGTCTCTGTGCTGGCTCTCACAAATGTACATTGGCATCCTGCGTCACCCCTGCAATAACCATACAAATGTTTCTAGCTAGCTTGTCTTCCCACAACACAATTATGCAGGCCGTTTGGAGTGTATACTATCAGACTGAAAATGGAATTAACTTTGTGTCTCCCCCAAGCTTTTTTGTGCCTAATCACCTGGGACCAGCTATTTCTCACCACTCTTTTTAAGCATATCCCAGCCTTCAAATCATAGGTTTGGTTTGATCAGCATTCTCTTTCTTTTGTCCACAGGGCCAAGATGCATTGAGCCATGCATTCTAGAAGCTGCCAGGCCATTATCACCGAGCACAACTTCAGCCTGACTTGGCAGGGAGCTGAACTCCTATTTGTGGCAGAAGTGAGCACAGTTGCACAGATGCTAGCACTGGAGTTTGAGCCTCTCTCCCTCATAGGCTTGGCTTTTCCCCGTCTCACCACTGCCTTGTTGAGCAATCTGTCTCTCCAACCCCTGAAAATGCTTCCTGTGGATTTGGACAAGCAGGCTGTGGTCTCGAAGCAAGGCATGCCGATTAGAGGAAGAACCCTGCAAGAATCAAACAAGAGACTGTGTTTTTTGCCTGCTTTGGGGTGTGACTTTGTGAACAGAAGATTCGTGTTAAAATTAACCTCTGTTTAGAATGACTGCTGCTAAGGGTAGACCTTCCCCCACTACATCAGAAAAGGTTAGTGACAGAAAGGCACTCTGCATGCGCTCAGACACACTCTTTATTATTCCTCCACATTTGGGGGTTGATAGCAGTTGAAGTCACAATATCAAACCGAGTTGAGGATTAGGTAGGAGGTGGGTGGCCCATGCTCTGATGACCTCTCCCTTCAGATGTACAATGGATTAAGACCAAAGTCCTTCAGCTGGTGCTTATAGTCCATGTGGATGACAGTAGCCTCCTTCTCCCAGGTGAGCTTGGCACTTTGCAGTTTGGAGAGGACGCAGTCCAGGCTGCCCTGTGGAAAGGGGAAGTCAGAGGCAGGATGAGGGGTGTGTGTGGCACCAAGGGATGGCAACCCAAAGTGTGGCATCCTTCCAGTTCTGTAGCTGCACATGACTGAACAGCTGCTGCTGCAGAACAGCGAGAATATGTACCCAAGAATTTCATGTTTGGACACAACGACACTTAGAATGCTGGAAGCAAGCTTCTGAGTTGCACAGAACACTTCATCGGGCATGTTTCAGAGCAAACCATTATTATTTTTTACCATTTTATTTCTAAAAGGTGGCTCTATTTCAATAGCTGGTAACAGATCAAAGAGGCACTATCCTACAGTCTCTGTATTTGAAAGCAGGCCATGAGCCACAGAAGGGATGCATGTTACCTAGAGACTCACACCTGTGGGAATAAGACACTCCCTCTCTCTCCCTGAGCTTTAGATAATGGCCCACATGCTGAACCCATTATCTTTTATTTGCAACCTGTGACCCGCCACCCACCCAAACTCACATGAAGGATTTTTTCATATTCTGTCTCCATCTCGTCAACCTTGCGCTGCATCTCGGCCACGGCCTTGTCCTTCTCTTCCAGCATCCTTGCCTGGTCCAGCTGGCTTTGTAGCAGATCACCTTGGCAGGCAGCTGCAGGGCAGAAAGTGTTGGGCAAGGAGAAAGAGGAGACAAATATGTGTGGGAAGGAAAAGCAGAGAGAGGACCTTCCAAGGCCTCTAGCTAAGTGTTGGAGCTCCGACTTCGCACACAAAAGCCCCCAAAGTCAATCTCCGGCATCTCCAGGCTTTGCTAGGCTTTGCAGTCAGTGTAGCAATGCTGAGCTCGATGGAACAGTGGTCTGACTTGTTATAAGGCCGTTTCTTACGTTCCTAAGGTAGCAGGCGACAAACATTTCAGAACAGAGAACTAAGAAGTTTGGGGGGTGGCATGTGATGGGGCTTGAGAACATCTATTTTCTACTGTTTTTAAGTGGCAAAATGTAGCAAAATGTGCCAGAATGTATTCCCTTAACGCAAGCTTAGAAGGGCTTGTAACAGAATTAGGCAAACTGATTTCCATCTCAAGGTTTGGAGGGTCAAGATTCATCCTCATTCCACCCCCCTACCCCACACACAGATTCCAGGTGCAAAAAGAGAGTGTGTTTGCAAATGAAGAGTATCACTTTTTAACTTGTCCCCCCCCCAAGTCCTTAACGGAAAGATGAACATGGGCAAAGAACAGTTGCTACAACCATACCATGTGTGATCATCTCCAAGGCCAAGGGTATGTGTGTATGTGTGTGTGCGTGTGCGCACGAAATACCAAGTTGTGCTTGCAAGTTCTGCGTCTCTGCTTCTAAACGATGGATCCGGGTATCAGTCTGGTGCTGAAGCTGCTGGTACTTGCGGATCATCTCTGGAACGCAAGAGGGGAGAAGGAAATGATCGCTCCATCCAACACCCTTGCCCTTCATTAACAGGCCTTAAGATTTATAGCCGGGTTGGAGGAACCTCCAGACATTGTTGGATTCCCACTCGCATCAGCCACAGTCAACATGGCTAATGGATAAGGATGATGGGCGATGATGGGAAACCTCTTGGGGGGGGCAGGTTCTCCACCCTGATTTGTAGCATCAAGTCTATCTGGTGTAACAGAAGGTAAATAGGGGAAAAAAAATATTTGCCTGTATGTGCTTACAAGAGAAGTTTTGCCGGGCAGGGAGGAGGGGGGGAGCAGATAAGAGTCACAAAGGGTCTGTGTGCAGAATGATATACCACAGTGTTAGCTGCGGAGGGAAACGCTACCTTCATCTGAACTTTTCAAAGCCAACATCCTGTGATTGCATTTTCCTGAGGAAGTGTCTTGCGAAGACCAACTGGCTCACTGCGTCATGAACTTCTTCTGCCCACATCCGATTAATGAAGTGGACAGAGAAAGTGATGTACACAGGCATGTACTACCCTGCTTCTTGAACTTAATCCGTTCCGGGAATCTGTTCGACTCCCGAAACCATTCGAAAACCAAGGTGTGGCTTCCAATTGGCTGCAGGAGCTTCCTGCACTCAAGCGGAAGCCGCAGAAGCATTGTTGGATGTTTGGCTTCCGAAAAACATTTGCAAACTGGAACACTCACTTCTGGGTTTGTGGCGTTCGGGAGCTGATTTGTTTGGAAGCCAAGCTGTTCGAGTACCAAGGTACCACTGTACATTGTGAAAGTGCAACGGAGAACAAAACGAGTCAAGGAGCAAGGAGTTAAGCAGGGCAGGAATGTGTGCTGATAATTGGGGTACAAAAAATGAACAATCCTCTCCGTACTAATAGGAAGCATCCCCCACACCCCAAGGCCATGTGAATGTAGCATTTGGAGACTGAGTAAAGTGGCAGGTAGATGCCAGAGACCCCCTTGGAAAGGCAATACTGCTGATTTGCAGAAAAATCTCACGACTGCACCAGTCAAGTGGAAAGGGAACCGCTGAGTAAAGGGTTTGATGCCCAAAGAGGTAAATCAAAATAAGGCAAAACTACTAAGCCCCTTAAGGGACGCAGGTGGCGCTGTGGGTTAAACCACAGAGCCTCTTGGGCTTGCCGATCAGGTCGGCAGCTCGAATCCCCGCGACGGGGTGAGCTCCCATTGCTCGGTCCCAGCTCCTGCCAACCTAGCAGTTTGAAAGCACATCAAAGTGCAAGTAGATAAATAGGTACCGCTCCGGTAGGAAGGTAAACGGCATTTCCGTGCGCTGCTCTGGTTCGCCAGAAGCGGCTTAGTCATGCTGGCTACATGACCCGGAAGCTGTACGCCGGCTCCCTCGGCCAGTAAAGCGAGATGAGCGCCGCAACCCCAGAGTCGGCCACGACTGGACTTAATGGTCATGGGTCCCTTTACCTTACTGAGCCCCTTGAGGGTCAAAATTGACCCTTGAATGCTGCTTCGAATCTTCTCTTGAAGCTCTTCTCTTCATTGCAGGGTCTGGGCACGGCACTCAACTACAGACACATTGCACTTTCAGAAAGTTACTATTTGGGGGTGGAATTCAGTCACATAGCAGCGCATTGCAAGTTGCACAATTCAGGTTGATTGGAAAGTCTTGCACAAGAAACCCGCTTCCCCCGAAGACCAGAGTTTTGTGATAAGGAAAGTGATAGGAAGATACACTGGGGAGTGTGGGGGTAATGTTTGCTTTGACATAACGTCACCTAATCTCCCTGCAAACAAATCAGGGTGAGTACTGTTATAGGTTTAGGGGCTCAGTCTAGATGGTGCCTGTGGGTCCCTTCCAGACCTGTGACCCTGTATCTGTGAGAAACCATAAGAGGAAACCAGCTGAACCAACCCAACTGGTTCCTTTGTTAAGGTAATGGCCTTGGCTGGCCAGTTAAGTACTGTCATTTGCATGTCCAAAGAGGTTTCCTGCTGCCATAGAGACGAGTGGGTAGACCTTTCCCCTCCTCACCTGGCTGGATGCCACATTGTCCTAGGAGGGAGAACAAGAGCCCAAGGGGTGCTGTGTATGCATATATTTTGGCTGATGCTGGAAGCTAGAGACATAAGAGACTGGTCTTGCTGTGTGCCAGACACAAAGTTATGGCTTGGGAAATCTCCCAGAGAACCTGAAGGGGAGGAAAGATCAAGTTGCACATATGTGTAAATAAAACAATAAGTCCTAAAGATACCAGTGTTTCCATTGGCCTTCATTCCAAGGCAGCCAAACTCTGGAAAGGTGAAAGCATCCCTGGAGTCTCTTGTTGCTCAGAGATTAGAGCATGTACAACAATACTCAATGAAGAGCCCCCCACCTTCATAAATATCTTTTTTGTCCCCTCGAGCCTCCTCCAGTTCTTTCTCCAGATCTAGCAGCCTCTGCTTGAGTCCTTCACTGTCAGCCATCGCCTGTCTGGCCATATCCCTCCGGAGAACTGCAGGTCAGAAGGATAAACACAGCAAACATGCAAATGTATCCAATCAAGGATCAATGCCTATTTTCTCATTTGGCTCCCCAGGTCCTTTGTACAAATTATTATCTCCTTATAGGAGAGGGCAAAACAACTAAAAGGTGTACCTTTCCTGGACTGGCTTGCTTTACAGTGGTACCTCAGGTTACATAGACTTCAGGTTACATACGTTTCAGGTTACAGACTCCGCCAACCCAGAAAAAGTACCTCGGGTTAAGAACTTTGCTTCAGGATGAGAACAGAAATCGTGCGGCGGCAGCGCAGCAGGAGGCCCCATTAGCTAAAGTGGTGCTTCAGGTTGAGAACAGTTTCAGATTAAGAATGGACCTCCAGAACGAATTAAGTACGTAACCAGAGGTACCAGTGTATTTGTCTATATGAATATTTATCTACTGCTATTTCATAGTAACTATAGAGCGGTTTACAATAATACATAAAACTAAGCAATAAAAACCATTTTTTGAAAAATAAAAAAATAAGAATGAAAATCAAACCTCAATTAACTATTGTGGAAAGATGCATTCTTAGTTGCCTACATAGGCATGGCACGATAGAAAGGTTTTTTAAATGAGGGTGCCTGTTGAATGTACCTGTTGGCTGATTATTCCAAAATACTTGGCTGGTGACACTAAAGGCTCCATTTCCTCTTGTGGACAAGTGAGCCTCTTGGACTGCTAATGATCTCAGTGTTTGAGCATGCAAGCTTTTGCGTTACACAGACCTCTCCATACGATAGAAGGGGTACTCTCAATTTCCTTTTTATATTGAAATACTGCCCCTCAATAAGGCCAAACTTAGATTCACAAAATGTTTATGGGTATGCGTACCCCCCCCCCAAGAAAAGCACTGTGTTGAGGATTGAACTTGGGGGCTTGCCCATGTTTTGCATGTGCTCTGCTTAGCTGCGTCTGCCGCAATTATAATGCAAAGTATTTAAAAATTACTCCCAGCAGAGTACTCATTTTGGAGCCCTTTATTAAAAGGACTGCGTGGCAATCACGTTGCTTCGCAATGCACTTGGAAACTACTTCTCATTTTCACTTCTCCATGAAAATGCTTGGATTGGTCAACTGAGAAGGGGGTGGATCAGAAAGGGACAGCAGTCCTGCTACTAGCCTGGTCCAGACAGCTGTGCTGGCAAACGCTTGGCGCCTTTGTTCACGGAAGGGTCATAGCTCAGTGGAAGAGCACCTGCTTTGCATGCAGAAGGTCCTGGGTTCAATCCCTGGAATTTCCAGTTAGGGCTTGGAGAGACTCCTTGCCTGAAACCCTGGAGAGCTACTGCCAGCCAGTATACAGTGGTACCTCGGGTTAAGTACTTAATTTGTTCCGGAGGTCTGTTCTTAACCTGAAACTGTTCTTAACCTGAAGCACCACTTTAGCTAATGGGGCCTCCTGCTGCTGCCGCGCCGCCGGAGCACGATTTCTGTTCTCATCCTGAAGCAAAGTTCTTAACCCGAGGTACTATTTCTGGGTTAAAGGAGTCTGTAACCTGAAGCGTATGTAACCTGAAGCGTATGTAACCCGAGGTACCACTGTATTGTATTGTGCTGTATTTGTATCCCACCATTTTTCTCCACAGAACTTGAGGTGGTATACAGGGCTCTCCCCATCCCTGTTTAATCCTCACAGCAACCCTTTGAGGTAGGCTAGGCTGAGAGGCAGTGACTGGCTTCCAAGGTGAGCTTCAAGGTTGAGTGAGCATTTGAACCCTGGTGACCAAGTCCTAGCATGTAGACAGTAAGATGGATCAACCTTCTGAAGTGGTATAAGGCATCTTCCTATAAGATTAGCATAGAAAGCTTGGCAGTCTTTCTACCTGACCCATCCAAAAATGCCGCCTCTGCTGTAACCTCTTAAGGCCTCTGCGCAATATCAACAAAATCTCCTCACCAAGGTGCTGCTTTAAGGTATCAACCTCCAGCACTGCTTTTCTGTACTTTTCCTCATCTGCGGGGAGAAGGAAAGAGAGAGAGAGAGAAATTGAAAGACTTCGCCTGGGTACTAATCGCCACTGATACCGAGACCTCCTGCTCGATGCGCCATTGTTATTATTCATTTAATTTATGAATTGTTTCCTATGAAGCAACCTGAAGCGCTTTCACAAAGCAATGACAAACAGATAAAAGTATTGCATATATAAAACGTCAAACAATTGCGCAGGTAAACACAAAAAGCAGTGGCATAGGTACAAAAACAGTTGAAACAATGGCGTATGTAAAAGGCAGTCTCAAATCCCAAGAGATGCAAGGCACATGGAAATGGGAATTTGCAAGGCGTGGGGCTGCTGGAATCTCCTGCATGCTGCACAAAGCCTTACCTGGCCCAGTGTTTTTCTTTTGCTTTGCTGATTTTTTCCCCTTCCCTTTTTTGGTGGGGGCCATCCTTGCGCGTTCTCCACAACCTGCAAAAGGGAGAAGATGAATGAACGTTGTAATATTTTTGGTGCATTCCAACTCCTGACGTTCAAAAAAGATCTTAAAACTGGTACTGATGGGGAGATTCCGGAGGGCCATCCTTTACACCTGAGGCATACATTGCTTGGCAGCGGAGTGAGGGTGGTCTCTGCTGTTTGGGTGGGCAAGTGAACAACTGTTTGTATGGTGGAAGAGAAAGTTCGAGGCAAACATACCTGGGAGCAAAGTGCTTCTTCTGCCTTCCTCCCAGGTTCTCACAAGTTAATCTGTGGGCAGTTAAGTAAACACACTTTGCAAGAGTGTCATTCCAAGCAGCCAATGCGCAAGGAGGGGGAAGGGGCGCTGGCTTTCCAGCAAGCCTATCCCAGCTGGCACAGGTTGGGGCTCCTTGTGTCGCTAGGCAACCATCCTTCTTCGCTGCCATGGTGACCAAAGGAAGCTTGGCAGACACACCGGTGCTCCAGCAAAGGAGGTCTGCAAAATTGCGTCCAACTGGCCTGAAAGAAGAGAGGTTGGAGGATTTTCAGGCCCATGTTCAAAACTTCTTTTGCAGAAACAGGAAGGGGTGGGAAGGGAGTAAGAATCAAATAGGCCCCAAATTATCTTATGCAGAGCTTCTTAGAGCAAACCCATTTCCCCCCATAAAACATTTGGCTCAGCTTTGACACCCAGGTCCTCATCTACAACTGAAGGCTGAGTACATAGAACAAGATTTCCACATGTGCATTGCTGACTTCCCCTCTTCCGCTGCTGAAGTTTAAATTGGAGGATCTTTGGGGCAGGGATCATTTGGGGAGGGTTGTGGGTTTCTTATGATTTTGCTTCTTATGTTGCTTTGAGAAATGTTGTATCCCCTCATGTTGCAATTCTACATTTTATTATTATATGTCACCCAAGTGGCCCTGCAATTAAATGTTGTTATTATTATTTATTATATTTAATAGCTTCCCCTTCCTCCCAAAGGAGCCCATGGAAGCAAACACATCCGTGATAAAACAGTACAATTAAAGTTGCAATGTAGTTTGCTCCTGTTCAAGCAGATGCAGCCAGCTACATCTTCTTCTATGATCCTCTATTCCGTTCCCAGTTCCCTACTCTAACAGCTAGCATCCCATGCCCACTGATCATATTCAGTCTTCATTGGACTGGTTTTTTTTGGGGGAAGGATATTTCCCCTTTTACTTGCCCCATTTTTTCTGCAAACCTGCAGGTTCCTCCGAGCTCCCTTTTGTGCGTGGTTGTTGTTGATTTGGCTACATAAATATAATGAATAAATGCATGTACAAAGCTTAAAAAAAGGTAAAGGTACCCCTGCCCGTACGGGCTAGTCTTGCCAGACTCTAGGGTTGTGCGCCCATCTCACTCTATAGGCCGTGGGCCAGCGCTGTCCGGAGACACTTCCGGGTCACGTGGCCAGCGTGACATCGCTGCTCTGGCGAGCCAGAGCCGCACACGGAAACGCCGTTTACCTTCCCGCTTGTAAGCGGTCCCTATTTATCTACTTGCACCCGGGGGTGCTTTCGAACTGCTAGGTTGGCAGGCGCTGGGACCGAACGACGGGAGCGCACCCCGCCGCGGGGATTCGAACCGCCGACCTTTCGATCGGCAAGCCCTAGGCGCTGAGGCTTTTACCCACAGCGCCACCCGCGTCCCGTGTACAAAGCTTACCACTCAGCAAATGAATTTGCTATTAGTATCTATGATACTTCTCTGCTAGCTGCTTTCAGAATAGCCAACATGGTGCCCTCTGGATATTGGACTACAATTCACACTAGCAGCAGCAGCCCTCATGGCTAATGGTCTGGTACACGAGGAGAGCCCTGCATTGCCTATCCCTGCTTTAGAAAGTTCAGGGAGGTTCAAGTAGGGTTTGGAGGCAATTCCCACACTGCACACAGTTGCCAATGTCATGGCTGTATCCATCCTGTGATGCTTGAGAGCAGCTGCCAGTCAGAGCAGACAATACCGGGTTAGATGAACCGCTAGTTTGGCTCAGGAAGGACTCTGCACTCTGCAGCTATCTTCTACTCACCAAAATTCCTGATCAGACCAGGCTAGGTCCACACATTTAGCAGCTGAGATCACAACTAGAAAGCATGACATAGCCAATGTGGGTTATGCGAAAACAGCACATCATGTGGCTACAGGAGAAAGGGAAGTGCCTGTCTGCTCCCTTTTGAACTTGCTACATGGGAGCTGTTTTGTTGTTGTTTGCTTTCCAGTGGGGTCTCAAGTTCAGATGTGGGGTGAGGACCACAAAGGCTCAGTGAGAAAGGGCATGATCCCTGCCAAAGCTGCAGGATCCAAATAGGAGCGATGCAGCACAGCAAGGCTGCTTCACTTGGTGCTACAACTCCAATTCATGAGACGATTTCCAGAGTTTGTGATGTTTCAACAGCTGGGTGCTGCATTTTAGGGCTGACCTTTGACCTCTGAGGTTATGCTGGGGTTCTGCAATTTAAGTCTATGAGTCGTGGGAGTTTCCCCCCTTTGCCACAGAACAGCCTTCTTCCTCACCCTCTTCCTGTGGGGTAGTCTCTAAACAGGATCTTCTGTTGGATTGATTCCTCTTAGTTGTTGGTAACGTTAATGACTCACTTATTTCAAAAGAAAAAAGCTTCTCTCCATTTCTGCTTTCCTATTTAAAGGAGTGTATTTAGTTCCCTTATCTGCTGTGGAACAGAGCCCTTTACTACTCCCAAGTCCCTTCCTTTCCTTGGCACAAATACTCTTTAGTTAGGTTTTCACAACTTTGCAAAGAAATCGATTTCACATGCATGGCGTCGTAACTGCATTCATCTTTAAGGAGTTAAAAACAAAGGGGTCCAGCAAACCACCCATTGCATCTTTTATTTGCATGCCCGTCCAAATCTCTCCCTTCCAAGGCTGGGCATTCACTGCCTCACGAGGTAGTCTGCCAGCTGGCTCAGGTTCGCCAGCTAGGCTTCCTTCAAGAACCCAGGCATCAATCCTTACTTTTATGAAATTTGCATAACTTTGCATATGCCTGTATAGCATCCATGAAGTGCTTCTCCCGAGTCTCGGAACTTTTTTATGGTGCTCGCCGCGTTCCCAGGAGCCTGCTGCAGTATTCCGGCCAACGTTGCCCAAATCCATCATGGCCACTCTGTTGGCCTTTTCGCACTATTGCGCATGCTCGGCCCCGCTCCATCTTTGACCATGCGCAGCAGCCGGCACACTGAACTAAACGCCAGTGAGAGAAAAGCCAATCAAGGCGGGACTATGCTAATAAGGCCCTAGTTGGGCGTGGCCTCTTTTTCCTAAGTGGGCCGGTTTTCCTCTTCCCTTCAGCGTTGACAGTCGGGAGCGCGTGAGCGCGTGTCACCCAACGTGCGCGCTCACGGTACTAAAGAAGAAGAAGAGAGCTCGCTAAGAACGAGCCAACCACTTTTAAAGCCGCCTGCTCGGTCGCGCGCCTAACTCACCGCGCGCTCACGAAACATACTGAGACCTCCGCCGCCCCGCCCCTCGCCCATCCCCCTTCGCTGTTTCCATCCCCCTTCGCTGTTTGGGAGGGGGCGCTCTGGCCAATCAAAAACGCGACTCAACCCTAGGGGCGGGCTGTTGAAAACGAGCGGCCCAATCAGTACGCGCCTCCCCTCAGGGAGCGTTTCTCCCCTCCTCCACACAAACACTCTCGGCTTCCCTCCCACCCTCTCCACTGCCACAGCCAATCAGAGCGCCCCGCCGGGGGAGGCTCGAGATCCTGTCACGGTGGGGCGGGGCTTTAACGCGCGCGCCTCCCCCTCCGTCGCGCGCAACCTCCTCCTGCCTTCCTGCCCGCCCGCTTCCCTTTTTCTTCGTCAGTCGGGCGCGTCCCCGGCGCTCCTGGAGCCGCCTCCCCTTCTCCTCCGCCGCCTCGACAGTCGGTGGCCAAGCCGGGGAAGGAGCGGCCTGGCGGAAGGGACACGCCTTAGCCGGCCTCCGTCCCTCCCTCAGCCGGAGCCCCCGCCGCCGCCGTTGCCCCTCTTCGCCGCCGCCGCCGCCGCCCCCATGTCGGCCCCGCTGAAGAAGGGCCCCGGCGGGCTGATCGGGCTCATGAAGGACGCCTTCCAGCCGCACCACCACCACCTCGGCCCCCACCAGCCCGGCACCGTGGACAAGAAGATGGTCGAGAAGTGCTGGAAGCTCATGGACAAGGTGCGAGGTCGGGGGGGCTGGGGCGTGGCCGCGGAGGGGGCAGAAAGTGGGGCGAGGCTGGAAGGGGGTGCGCAGAGAGGGGTCGGGGGTGGTAGGGCGGGGACGTGGGGAGGGGTCGTGGCCGCTGACGACGGTAGCATTGCCATCCTCCTCCTCCTCCTCCTCTCCATGTACCGTTGGATTCCAGGTTTTCTTGCGACGCGATCCTGTGCTACGCAAGAGTAGGTGTGTTACTTCACTCTGATTCACTCTGTCCTAAGGAATTGCGAGGGCAGTCAATCGATTGCTAACAGCTCGGTCGGGGGGGGGGGGAAGCCGCTTTATTAGGATAATACTGTAATACTAATACTAATAACAATAAATAAATGCGAGTTCAGCTGCAAAAACTGGGATGGCTCAGTCAGAGTTCAGGAACAGTTAAAGGGTTAGCGTCACTGTCAGCGTCATTTATGAAGGGCCTAATATGTGCTGATCCCTATACAGAAATAATAAAGCGCAAGTCCCTTCCTGTAGGCTCAATCTCTCCATTTCATCTCATCAAGGCCTTGTGGGAGGTTCATTGGCCATTTGTAATGTGGGACTGCTTTCCGGTGTGGGTTATTGTCTTGTTAAAAATTTTTTTAACAGCACTTACTCATATTAGGCTTTTTTATAAGTAATAGATGAGATGGGACAATAATTGTAAATCACTCCAGAGCAAAGAGATTTTATAGTCTATTTTGCAGCTGTCCATTGGAGAAGAAGGGTGAGGCTGGATAGATCCAGGCTGGCTGACCTGGGAAAATTAGGAGCTGAGGGGCAGAAGTGGAAGTGATGGGCCAGAATGAGAGCAGTGAGGCAGGCAGGGCTGGAGAGAGGTGCTTAGTGTTGGCATCAGAAGTAAAATTAGCAGCTGCCATTTGATAAAATGTTTGAGGTGACATACAGCATACTTATTGCATATGTACAGTGGTACCTCGGGTTAAGAACTTAATTCATTCTGGAGGTTCATTCTTAACCTGAAACTGTTCTTAACCTGAGGTACCACTTTGGCTAATGGGGCCTCCCGCTGCCGCCGCTGTGCTGCCGCCGTGCGATTTCTGTTCTCATCCTGAAGCTAA